GCCGTTTGAGTAAAAAAGAAAAAATCTCCGCAACTCTGAAAGTCTCTGTGTGGTCAACAACAGACACACATTATATCATATCATATTTTAAGTTAAAATTTCAGCTCAGCGAAGAACTTTGATCACAGGAACTTTTTCAGTACCATATTTTTTTGGACTGTAAGGTGCACTTAAAATACAGACTTCATACAAATGTGTGCCTTATGTATGAATTCCGGTTGTGCTTACTGACCGCGAAATGATTTTATGTGGTAACTGGCACTCAAAAATCTGTCAATGTTTTAAGTACGACTTTGGTAAGCTTTGAAACCGCACCACTTGATGGGTTGTTCACGCATTATGGCTACAGTAGTCGGGAGCCTCAGAGTAATATGTACCATGCCTCAGCATAATATTACCGTTAGGGCTGGGACATATTATACCGTTCACGGTAATACCGGTACAATGATACACAACGATAAGAAAAAAAAATTTCACGATAGAATTTGGGTAAAACGCGCATGCGCAGTTCCTTGGTTTTCATACGCACATTGCCGAAAAAGCATGGCGGCAACGGAGAATGAGAAGGGGGAAAAGCGGATTGTTGAGTGAAACAGATGACCCAGAATCGGTTTGTAAAACTGGTGCAACTTCAGTGATGTGAAACTGGTTTGGTGTTTGTCCATCAGAAACAACACGGGAATAGAGCAGCTGTGATAGAATACAGCATTAATGAATCAATGGTACAGAAGTGGAGGAAGCAAGAAGAATGAGTTGAGTAAAGTTGGACTTACCTGACTGCTTTGTTTCGCTTAATCTGCGGCGCACTTTATGGGCCGAAAAATACTTTTTTTATTTGGCACACTGCAGTTTAATGTTGCAAAGCACCTCTTTTTAACTTTAGTGGATATTATACATGGTTATGCTCAGGATATTTCAGCCCATTTCCACTAGAAATGCCTTTTGGTTAAACTTTAAGCAAGGAATTTGCATTTGCACATAAATGCACATTAAAAAAAAACAGCTGCTTGTTGAAAATAAATTGATGGGTTTTTTTTGCGCTAGTAAAGTTGTGGAGTTATATTTTGTATTTTGTCTCGCATTAATTATATCGTCAGTTATATCGTTATTGCAAATTTTCAAATGTGTATATAGTGATAAATATTTTTGGTCATATCGCCCTGCTCTAATTACTGTATTGTGTGTATGTAAGGACCCCAAAATGGCATCTTTTAAGAGACATGCTTACAAAGCGGATTTCAAACTAGAATGAGTTGAGTAAAGTTTGACTTATCTGACTGTTTGGTTTTGCTTAATGCGCCTTATAATCCAGTGCACCTTATGATCCAAAAAATATGGTAACTTATGTTTCTTGTAAAAATGTGCTCCAAATAAAGAAGTTTGTTGAGAAGCTTGTTAGTTAATCATATACAAGTCAATATTGCCTGTATGGACGGCAATTATTATTATTATTATTTTTTTTTAAAGTGTACATTTAAATCTGCGGTGTTAAACGATGCAGTTGAGAAATTCGGGTGCACCTAAGAAAAAAAAGTTAGGCGCACCAGTGCAGGGCATGCAGTCTGACAACATCACATTTTAGTACCTGCTCAGATTGCTTGGAACACCCATTCGAGCAGGTACTATTTTAGTACCTAGTACCAGGTACTATGACCTAATTGGAAAAACCTGAAACCTGTGGTAAATATGTACCAGTGACTGTAGAAAAGATTGCCGACTTGGTTGCACTTCTTCCCATTATACAAAAATGAAGCCAAAATGTCCTGTTTGTGGAAGCTGCCATGTTGCACTTTTGAAGCCAGAATCTGCGCAGTAGTGACTTGAGGTGTAGTGGCTGCCTCGTGCTCCTGCCCACACACCCGCACACATACATTTAGTTTTAGTTTCATTTAAGTTCAATGATTTTTTTTTGATTATTTTTTTTTAAATCAAGCCAAAGCTTCAGTTTAATTATTTCATTTGTCATCTCATCCGATAAATGCTGCAGATAATCACCAGAGCAGAAAATGTTTATCATCAGCAAATGGTACCTTTTTTTTTTTTTTTTTTTTTTTAACCGCTTTGAACACTTTACAAATGTCATTAATGTATAAGTTTAAGAATTTGGGGCCTAAAACTCACCCCTGCAGTACACCACAAGCAGTGTCCATACGTAAGGAGCAACAACCATTTAATTTCACAAACTCCTTCCTGTCTCTTAAAAAACTCAAACCCAATTTAAAATTACCCCCTGGTGTCCTTTATTTCAGTACAATAGCACATGTATGGCTTTAGTTTTTGTTGGTTTTTCCCCACATAGTGTATGACCTTAAAAATCAGTAGTAGTAGTAGTAGTAGTAGTAGTAGTAGTAGTAGTAGTAGTAGTAAAAAAGGCTTTTACTGTGAAAACCACAAACGTATATTTAATAAACCTTTTACTCCTCAGCCGTAAAAGACTGATGGGGTATTGTCGTCGCCCTACTAGGCGGGCAGCATGAGCACCCAAGTTTGTGAATGTGAAAACTCAAGAATGAAGTCACCTAGGTTTTTCACCATATGTCAGGAGTGGGCAACTCCAGGCCTCAAGGGCCAGTGTCCTGCAGGCTTTAGATATCACCCTGGATCAACACACCTGAATCACATGATTAGTTCATGTGTTTGATCAAAGACTCATCTAAAACCTGCAGGACACCGGCCCTCGAGGCCTGGAGTTGCCCACCCCTGCCATTGCTGCATTTACTAAGTTTCAAATGAATTCGAATCCCGGTGACCTTGACCCCAAAGTTAAGGTTAGAAGTCACATTTTCTGAAAATCTTATGAATGTGATAACTCGAGAACAAGGCAGCGTAGGATTTTTAAATTAATACCGATAGGCATGTCTACAAGGAGGCTATAGGGTAGCACTGGTGGTCATCAGTATTTTTATTTTTTATTTTTTTTTTGTTATTTTTTGAAATTCTATTTATTAATGTTTTTTAATTTGTAGCATTTCTATGATCCTCATGACCGTTAGAGTACATACACAGTACTTTCTTAATTTTACTAATCCTTGATGATATGTGTATCTATTAACATAATTTTCAAAGGTCCTCTTCTTGATTTTTATTTTGTTTTATTTTGTTATTACAGCAGGCCAATGAGGCTCTGCATCACCAACACCAAGTAGCTGGAAACAGCCTGTTGCCTCTTCTTAATTCTGGGACAGAGCCACCTGATCAGAAACCAGTGCTGCCAATCCCGTTGGACCAGAAACCACCTGTCAGTGCTACAGAACTTCTTAAAGACAATGTGGCTACTGGGGCTGTTGGAGGAGTTGGTGAAGTGGCTCCAGTTGCTGTGGTTAAAAAGGAACCTAAGTCAAAGACTCCCTTTATCTGTGGCTACTGCAACAAAGCTTTCCGGGACAGCTACCATCTACGGCGGCACGAGTCTTGCCACACTGGCGTTAAGATGGTGTCACGGCCTAAGAAGGCTCAGACTGCTCCTACCATGGTGCCACTCATATCCACTGTACCACGTGAGAATAGTGGAAATCCGTCATACATAACTACTGTAGCCACAGGTGTCCTGACTACAGCAACAACATCAGCATCCACAGGCACTAGCAGCATGACCCCAATGCAACACCAACAACTACAGAGCATCCCTAAAAAGCCTCCCAAGCCAGTGAAAAAGAACCATGGTTGTGACATGTGTGGTAAGGCCTTCAGAGATGTGTATCACCTCAATCGCCACAAGCTGTCACACTCAGACGAAAAGCCGTTTGAATGTCCCATCTGTCAGCAGAGGTTTAAAAGGAAGGATCGCATGACATACCATGTCCGCTCCCATGATGGGGGAGTTCACAAGCCCTACATCTGTTCTGTCTGTGGGAAGGGCTTCTCTAGGTATGTGGTTCTGATTTCTCTATTGTTATTTCTCTAAGCGCCTTGAGGCGACTTATGTTGTGATTTGGCGCTATATAAATAAAATTGAATTGAATTGAATTATAGTTCTTCTAAATTTGTACAATATAAGGAATCATAATTGTTACACTACACTGTTTTTGAGGGATCACACTAATAGCCAGCCCCCCAAAAAATCACCTCAATTTTATATTTCAGTTTTAGGCTGTAGACAGGGTGCTGTCGCACTGTTTTTTTCCATTTGAGGGT